GAAACCCAAGGAGGGGTCGCTATGAGTCGGGGCCGACTCGACGGCACATAACAACAACAACAACAACAGCTAGCCATCAAGATGGGTTGGTGTGTTGATATTTTGAGGCAACCTCTTTATCCAAACACAAAGCAGTGATTGGTAAAATAATAAAAAGAGAAAATCAAGTGGACGTAAATGGGGCTCAAAGAAAGATAAGCATTTCTGTGACTTAAAAAGAGAGTAGAACAGAAAGCAGGAATGGGACTACAAGTGGGAGCCTACAATGAGAAGCCTTCAAGTTGTTTTGGCTTCTTTGAGGTAACAGGGAGGGGCTCATTGTTGGAAGCCATAGACCAGGTTAGGGTCCTCTCTTGGGGGAAATGTTTCTAAGTTTAATTCTATGACTACCATATTGTACAACTTTAGGGATCAGATTGTTATTATGCAGTACATTCTTGGAGTAGTGAAGTGCACAGCATATCTGGCTGTAAGGAGTAGCTTTGCTGCTGACTGCTGCCAGAGGCCACGGCATTACCTGGGCATCGTATTCTGGTGTACTGTATGGACGGTGGGATTCCTGCCACTGAACCACCAAGCTTCCAGGAACCTGCTGGCTCTGTTGTTGCAAGGAAGAATCTCTTGATTTAAATAAGCCAACTATAAGAAAAATATTTGAGGGATACCTGGGGAAATTTGAATATTAGCCAAGTATATAATATTAAAATTGTTAAGTTTTAAGGTCCAATTATGGTATTACAGTTGTATTTTCAAAAGAGGTAAATAGTAGTTTTCAGTAAATGTTTGTGTGAAAACCAAAAAGAATTTTCCTCAAAGTAGGTACCTGTAAAGGAAAATTCTCAAATAAAGCCTTCTAACACTAGGAAAAATATGTAACAAAATCAGGAATTAAAAGAGCAGTTCACTCTGGATCACATAAAATATTGCTGTTGTTAGGTGCTGTTGAGTCGTCTCTGACTCATAGTGACCCTATGCACCGCAGAATGAAACACCGCTCGGTCCCACGCCAGCTCTGTGATCCTTGCTATACTTGAGCTCATTGCTGCAGCCACTGTGTCAATCCATCTCGTTGAGGGCCTTCTCTCTTTCACCGACCCCCTCCGCCTTACCAAGCATGACATCCTTTTCCAGGGAGTGGTCCCTTCTGATGACATGACCAAAGTAGATGAGATGAAGTCTGGCTGTTCTCACTTCCAATGAGCATTCTGGCTGTATTTACTCCAGGACAGAATTACTAGTTCTTTTAGCAGTCCATGGTACTTTCAGCATTCTTTGCCAGCACCACAACTCAAAAGCATTAGTAATTTTTCAGGCTTCCTTATTCATTGTCCAGCTCTCACATGCATATGAGGCAATTGAAAATATTAGTCCAAGAAATATTGAAGTACATATTTAGGATTTTCAGAGAGTTAAAGTAGAGAATAAAACAAAACCAAAACCTATTGCCATAGAGTTGATCCTGACTCTAAGTGACCCTATAGGACAGAGTAGAACTGCTACATGGGGTTTTCAAGGCAGTAAAAATTTACTGAAGCAAACTGCTGCATCTGTCTCCCATGGAGTGGCTGGTCAATTTGAACTACCAACCTTTTGGTTGGCAGCCAAGTGCTTAACCACTGTGCCACCACAGCTCCTGTTAGAGCCCTATCTGTTGACCTCTTGGTTACCAGCCCTGTGCTTTAACAAGAGCTCTATAGATAATATAACTCTCTTACCTGGAGTACTAACCTATCGCGGTTGACTGTATGGAAGCTGAAAACAAAACTAACCTAAGGATTGGTAGTTTGAACCCACCCAGTGGTGCCTCAGAAGGAAGGCCTAGTGATGTGCTTCTATAAAGATGATAGCTCAGAAAGCTATAGAGCAGTTGCACTCTGTAACACACTGGTTGCCGTAAGTTGGAATTGACTAATAACAGATTTGGTTTGGTTTTATCTCACAGCTTATTAAGAAATTTTGTGTGGATTAAAGACCTAAGTTAAGTAAACAAAATGTAAGCCTTTTTAAAAGAAATATAAGATAAATAACTCTGTCTTAAAGCTAAGGAAAGTTTATAAAAATCTGTATCAGGAGATAAGGAGCTCTTGTGGCATAGTGCCTAACATTTGAATGCTAACCAGAAGGTTGGAGGTTTAAACTCAACAGCCGCCCCGCTGAAGGAAGACTGGGCAATTTACTTCTGTAAAGATTTACTGCCTTGGAAACCCAAAGGCGGTTTGCTGTGAGTCGGAATTGACTCAGTGGCAGTGAGTTTGGTTTAGTTTCTCTTTATACTAGGAGATAATAGTATGTGGGCTTTAGAGACAGACTGCTTGCTTTAGATTTCAGCTTTATGATATTCTAGTAATGACTTTGGGCAAGTTACATAATGTTTCTGTGTTTGTTTTCTCATTTTTAAATGAGCATGATGATGATAAAACAACTCTTATAGTAGAGTTGTGAGGGTTAAATAAAATAATTCATGTGAGGTGCTTGGAAAATTACAAGTGCAAACAACAGTAACAACAAAGGCAGTTAATGCTGTTATTAAAATAATGAAGTGTAAACCGTAAAGAAAAGGATGGATAAATCTGGCTTTATTAAAAAGAAAAACTTGTCTATAACAAAAGATTGTATAAACAAAGTAGAAAAAGATAAGCCACTCATTGGTAGGTAGATATTTGCCATATATTCATCTGAAAACTGATTAATATTCAAGACATAAGAAAAACTCAGTCACACCGATGAGGAAAAGACAGCTCATTAAAAAAAAGGGAAAATGAGTAAGTGAAGAATAAATGAAGAAAATGAATACGTAACATTGCCCATATGGCAAGTGAGTAGTAAAGTTAGCTGCTCATTCTTGCTACTAATCCAGGGAACACAAATTAAAATAATAAGATAGCTTTTCATACTTATTGGGTTGGGAGAAACTCAAGTCTGACAATACTACTATTGGCAAGGAAGGCAAGAAGTGGGAACTCTTCTTCACTGTTGTGAAGTAGTAAGATGATACAACCACTTTGGAGAGCATTTTATCCATGTCTGGTAAAGTTTGAAGATACCTAAAACCCAATTCCACTCCTGAGTATAAAGCCCAGTGAAATTCTAGCGATGGCACATACAAAAACATGTATGAGAATTGCAGTGTAAGAGTGGAAATAATATAAGTTGTTTACTGGAAAGAGAGTAGATTAATATTGTGTAATTACACAATTGGATATTATTTGGCAGTTAATAAAGTATAACTGTATGTATCAGCATTTATAAATAGGAAAGGACAATATTAAGTTTCAGTGAGAAGCTAATTATTAGTATATTATGATATCATGGTATTCTATATATAATTTATAGAGACCCCTACACACATGTAGTAAATGTATAAAAACATCTGTGAGAGTAATATCAACCTCAGGATAGTGATCATCTTTGTGGAGCAATGGAAGGAGTTTTAACTGTATCTCACATATTTTATTTCTTTATAAAATGATCTGGAGCAAATACAGCAATTTTAAAACTTGTTGAATCTGAGTGGTAGGTATGTGACTGATTTTTATATGTTCTATAATTTTCTCTATGTTTGAAAGATCATCTAGGGAAAGGTAAGAAACAAGTTTCTTGATTAAAGGACTTTGGCAAATGGGGTAGTAGTGTTAAGAGGGAAGTAACTGAAGATACATTTTCTTCTTTTTTAATAGCACAGCCTCTTTATATAATTAAAGGATGAAATAAGTAAAAGGGAAAGATCGGTAACACATGAGAGTGGTTTTTTGATGAAGCAAGTTTCTAATGGAGAGGGGAAGAATTAGGGTTTTATTAGTCCTAGAAAGGATGTGGAACATAATTTCTTTGTCTATAGGAATGGAAGGAGCTCTGGTAGCATAGTGCCTAAGGCACTTGACTGCTAACCAGAAGGCTGGTGGTTCAAACCCATCAGCCACTCCTCTGAAGGAAGATGGGGCAATCTACTTCCATAGTGGTACTGCCTCAGAAACCCAAGGAGGGGTCGCTATGAGTCAGGTCCGACTCGACGGCACATAACAAACAACAACAACATAGGAATGAAAGAATAAAAATGAGATGAAAGTAGGAATACATTTTGAGTTAGAGAAGTCATTTAAGGGAAATCTTTATTTTCTCAGATATAAAAATAAAAATCAATCTTCTAGAGTTTGGTAGATGTGAGATTTGAGAAGATTGGAAGGATATGAAGAACACTTAAATGAAATGAAGATAGACAAAAAGAATAGTAGCATTCAGCATTGAGTAAAATTTATAGTGATGCCAAGTCAAGGCTAGTTGTATAATTTTGTCAGCTGTGTTCAGCAAGCCAGGGATAGGATCTTTTTTGTTGTCTCTGCCACGTGTACCTCACCTGCTCATCCTGGGGGGGAGTCGGAGCCTGGAATTTCCTGAAACTATGTCCATCTCTGTAGCAGCCTTTCTCATGTGTTCTCATAGTCATAACTTCATCTAGTTTAGATCCTCTGTTTATCTCATCTTTATACACTTTTTAATGAATTTCATAAAATTTTGCTCCATCAGTGATACTCTTTCTTGATTTTCTTTATCCTGAAGAGAGTTTGGTGCACATAATTAGATTTGTGTGATTACTCCTATCCTTGTTGTTCCAGTCTTAGTGAGAGTCTTCATGTATAAGGAAAGAACTTGGTTCTAATCCCAGGTACCTTAGAAATATTTGAAATATCTGGGGATAAAATAATTCATCTTGCACACTTTGATATCTTGAATAATTGAATTATTAATAAAATAAAATATGGAAGTTTTTTTTGTTGCAAATTTCTATTTTAGGAAGTACCTCAATTTAGACAGAAACATGTATAATTATGTGATCTTCCTGAGACTATTTGCAAAACTGTTCCTATACTAAGTGAAGACTTAGATTTTGTCTTCTAAAAGGTGTAATCAGCATGATTTGTTTAGCTTTTCTTTCTTGAGCATCATAAAGCAATAATTATGTAATATGACTGCTAAATGTTTCACATTATTTTTTGTTACAGATTTCTGCCAAGAAAATGTTTTGTACAATCTTGAACATACACTGTTCGTGCTGATGGGACAGGATCCAATATGAATATAAATGATGGAGGAAGACGACGCTTTGAGGATAATGAACATACATTATGTATATATCCTGGGACAATTTCAGAAGGGACAATCTACTGTCCAGTTCCTGCCAAAAGAAACTCCACAGCTGCTGAGGTGATTGATGCTCTTATAAACAGACTGCATCTTGACAAAACAAAATGTTATGTTCTAGCAGAAGTCAAGGAATTTGGTGGAGAAGAATGGATACTCAATCCAACAGACTGTCCAGTTCAACGAATGATGTTGTGGCCCCGAATGGCTCTGGAAAATCGCTTGAGTGGAGAGGACTACCGCTTTCTTCTGAGGGAAAAAAATCTTGATGGATCAATCCATTATGGTAGTCTTCAGTCATGGCTACGGGTAACAGAGGAACGTCGCAGGATGATGGAACGAGGTTTTCTTCCACAGCCACAGCAGAAAGACTTTGATGATTTATGTAGCTTACCTGATTTGAATGAGAAAACTCTTTTAGAAAACCTACGAAATCGCTTTAAACATGAAAAAATTTATACCTATGTTGGCAGTATTCTAATCGTTATTAACCCATTCAAATTTCTTCCTATTTATAACCCCAAATATGTAAAAATGTATGATAACCACCAACTAGGAAAACTTGAGCCCCACATATATGCTGTGGCAGATGTAGCTTATCACGCGATGCTTCAACGCAAAAAGAATCAGTGCATTGTGATTTCAGGAGAGAGTGGTTCTGGGAAGACTCAAAGCACAAACTTTCTCATTCACCACCTTACTGCTCTCAGTCAGAAAGGATTTGCCAGTGGAGTAGAACAGATTATTCTTGGAGCTGGACCAGTACTTGAGGTAAGTGTATAGAAATACTTTCCTTACTCTTAAACATATCTTAAAAACTTTTATTTTCTTTTAAGTATTTGGTAGATGTTAGAAAGTGAAAAATAAAAGTAAATAGAAGTTTAGACATTATTGTAGTTACCAAGGAAAACTCTGCCTTACAAGTTCTAGTATTTCATGTTTAATTGACTTAATAAATGCACATCTTCATGTCAAATTTATGGAAAATGGGAAAACAAAAATGACAAGTGTGGAAGATTGAAGGGGAGAGGGAGGTGACGGTGGTAACTTTTTTTTTTTTTTTTTAAATGGTGTCTTTGGGTAATAGTGATGTAAAAGAATGAGATGACTAAAATCATAGCCCTCTTTGAAAGGAGAAAGCAGCATACAGAACTTCTGTAGGAAGGACTGCAATTAGATTGTGAAAGTAGGTGGTTGGTGAAAATATTCTTGCTATGGTATTTGTACCTATAAGCTGTAACATCAGTGCCTAGCTTTAAAACTTTTAAGGGTTCAGTTTTTTTTTTTTTTTT